TTGTTCAGTGGTCAAAGGATATCTCCAGGTCTTACCCTCTTACTCAGAGAATTGAAATAAAGGGTCACACAGACTTGTGAAAAGAATAAGAGAACTTTATTCAAAGAAATCCTATAGAATGGGTCAGACCCCCTGAAAGAGATGCCAGTGGGTCTCCAATTATTGTTTGGGGTTTCCCTTTGTGGGAATCAAGAGAAGACCTTTTGCTAATAGGTCATAGAGAGGGTGATTCTCTATTTTGATTGACACATTGAGTCATAATTCATAATTCAATCCAAGTCAAGTCCCAGGCTGCTAAATTATGCCCTGTGCCTGCCTGCTCATAGGTGTATGTTGGTCATAGTTTTAAAATCTTGATAGTTTTTCTCTGAAGCATGAAACCATATATAAGACTGGTAGCTGGCAAATTTTGGTAAAGATGGGTCAGAACTGTGAAGTCAGAGACAATTTGACCACTGCATTCCTCTCAGCAATGATAATCACTGCCCCGAGAAAAGATGGAGGCATATGATTCCACAAAGGGGGAGTAGCGGTCTTACTGGTGAAACTCTGTGAAGCTAGAGGAAGCCAGGACTGCCAGGTAGATAGAGAGACATTTTCCTCAGTGGCATAGCCACTAGACAGTTGCCCACAGTCCTGTGAATAACACCTCGCTCAGAAGGGGCACTAGGGAAGAGGAAGGGGACCAGCAAAACTTGGAGCAAGGAAAGAAAGGATAATGGGGGTGAATGAATATGATTCAAATATATACATTGCTGAAAATGTTGTTATCTATTGTGATATATAATGAACATATGCTAATACTTTTTTAATGCAGAGTAGGTTTTCTTTAATTAAAAAAATGGTATGGGCTGAAGTATATGGACCAAGTTCATATTTCAATCTTTTTTAGGTGCTAGGATCCAGCATACTTTTCCCATGCTAAGCATGCTCTCTGCCCTGGAATTACATCCCAGACTCTATTTTTTTTTTTGTCACTATCATGATGGTTTGAATACAAATGGCCCTTATAGGCCCATAAAAAGTGGCACTATTAGGAGGTGTGATCTTGTTGGAGCAGGTTGACCTTGTTGGAGGAAGTGTGTCACTAGGTGGTGGTCTTTGAGGTTTCAGAAGCTCAAGCCAAGCCTAGTGGCCCACTTCTTCTTCCTGTTGCCCGCAGTTCCAGATGTAGAACCCTCAGCTCCTTCTCCAGCACCATGTCTACCTGCATGCCACCATGCTTCCTGCCATGGTGATAATGGACTAAACGTCTGAAGTGTAAGCTTGCCCCAGGTAAATGTTTTCCTTTATAAGTGTTGTCATGGTCATGGTGTCTCTCTGCAGCAATAAAATCCTAACTAACACACAAGGTCTCACCAGGTTTCCCAGGCAGCCCTTGAAAGTTCCCATTTTATCCTCCCGAGTTCCCATTTTATCCACAGCCTGATCTACAGCCTGATCCACAGCCTGATCCACAGCCTGGTCCACAGCCTGGTCCACAGCCTGATCCACCAGGTCTTACTCAAGGATGGGTTTGGAAATGACTTTTCTTTTCTTTTCATAAGAAAGCATCAGAGACCAGGAGGGTAAACAGCAGGCAGCTGTGTTTTCACAGTTCGGGATGCTAAGCCATGGAAAGAGGGATGGGCCAGGTCAGCTTCGCAGGCACCCCTCTGTGTATGCAGGCTTCCCCCTGTGACTCCGCCCTGTGACCGTCAGAGCTGACTTCATATTACATGGCACCAATCTTATGGACAAGTTGAGACGAAACACCATCATTTTTACTTGGCCTCTTTGGGGGGGCCTATCTCCAGATATAAACACACTCTAGGGAATTGGAGGTTAGCACTTCAATGTGTGTGTTGGGTGGAAGGACGAATTCACTCTGTAACGTGTATCATTTATCATCTTCCATTTAAAAGGAAGAAATTATCTGAAACCACGCTGGAAATGTAAACTGAGGAGATTACCTCATTAGCAAGTAGAAGTTAGTTATTTGGCAAATGAAGGGACAGTCCACTAGCTGTAATCTCAGTAGTGTCCAGTAGAATGTATCAAAGAAAGAAAGAAAGAAAGAAAGAAAGAAAGAAAGAAAGAAAGAAAGAAAGAAAGAAAGAAAGGAAAGAAGAGAGAGAGAGAGAGAGAGAGAGAGAGAGAGAGAGAGAGAGAGAGAGAGAGAGACCAGCCTTGTTTCTCACTGGTCTTGTCTTCCATGCAGAAATGTTTGAACTAATAAAGGAACATAATGGAACCAGCTTGATTTAAGCCTCTGTTTTCTGGGCAAACACTTCAACTATTTAAGTGTTTAGAGATTCTTGGTTCTTCTGAATTCCCTCAACAGACATTTGACACTTCCTGAAGAAAGCCTTTTTGGGAAGCCTAGCCTGGTGAGAACCTTGGGTTTTGCTTTCACTTCCGGTCCGGAGGTCAGGAACACGCTGTTAAAATGAAACAGTGCCCTTAAAGATAGTTGCTTTCTAAAGCTCTGTATTATTTGATCATTACTCAGTCTATAGTGGGCTGATGAGGGCTGCTGCTCAGGTTTCCTTTGTGACGGCCTTTGAAGTGAGGCCTGGGGATTATTGACCAGAGAGTGATTAGGAACTCACTGTGCTCTATGTCAGTTTTCTGTTTTGTTTGCTAACCCCTACACATATCAAAAATTATCAGTGCATATCTAGCAGTTAAACCGTGTGATGGCTTATACTGTTTATTTATTTATTTATTTATTTATTTATTTATTTATTTATTTATTTTTCTAAGACAGAGTTTTTATCTGTAACCACCCTGCCTGTCCTAGAACTCATTCTCTAGACCAGGCTAGCCTTGAACTCACAGAGATCTACCTTCTTCTGCCTCCCAAGTGCCGAGATTAAAAAAAAAAATTCAGGTGGTGGTGGCACACACCTTTAATCCCAACACTCAGGAGACAGAGAGAGGAGGATCTCTGTGAGTTCGAGACCAGCCTGGTTTACAGAGAGAGTTCTATAACTGACTCCATAGCTACTGAGAAATGCTGTCTCAAAAAAAAGAAGGAGGAGGAGGAAGAGGAGGAGGAGAAGAAGAGGAGGAGGAAGAGGAGGAGGAGGAGGAGGGTGTGCTGCCACTGCCCAGCTATGGCTTATGTTTATAAGTCCCAGCATGTCAGAGGCTAAAGCAGAAGGGCTGCTATAAATTCAAATCCAGCCTGGGCTATAATGCGAGACCCTGTCTCGCTCCTCTTCTCTCTCTCTCTCTCTCTCTCTCTCTCTCTCTCTCTCTCTCTCTCTCACACACACACACACACACACACACACACACACAAAGGAAAAAATTCAACAAACTTAACCATAAGTCCATTTCCTTTAAAAACCATTGCACTGTTTAATATAACAAAAGCTTCATTTCATAACAATTCACCCCACTTGATATTTCATTCTCCAGAAAGAGAACCATCCTACAGTAACACCAGTCATTGTAGGTGCACGGGGGTGCCCACCTATCCTACAGTAACACCAGTCATTGTAGGCGCACAGGGTGCCCACCTATCCTGCAGTAACGCAGTTATCATAGGAGCACAAGAGTGCTCACCCATAAGATATTCTACTGGAAGACATCTCCAGATTAAATTTTGCTGTGCAGGTTGCATTTGAATGTAAAATGCTGAGAGTCAGAGGAGTGTGGCTCAAGTCTCCCTGCAAATAAGATCATTGCTGAGGAAGAGATGAGTCAGAGAGTGTATGGTTTTTGCTTGAGGTCAGAGACATGGTTTCTCTGTGTAGCCCTGGCTGTCCTAAAACTTGCTTTGTAGACCAGGGTGGTCTCGAACTCACGGAGATCCGCATGCCTCTGCCTCCCAAATTATACGATAAAGGCATGCACCACCAAGGCCCAGCTGAGAGTAACTCTCTTTAGGAGGAAGTAGTATGAAGGATGATAGTACACAAAAGAAAGAAAAGTCACCAAGACATCCAAAACAGTAGGAGGCCAAGGGAAGGCTCACAAATGAGGGAGACTTCACACTGGGATTGGACAGGCAGGCTTGTGTTCAGAACACTTGAAGAGAGGATGTTCAAAGTAGAGGGAAGAGCAAAGTGCAAGGACATAGTCAGGAACTGGTGGGACGTGACTGGAGGAACGTGAGGGAGGTATTGTGGGGGATAAGTCAGAAAGATAGAGCCACATCTTGCATTGTCTTTTCTTGGATATTGTCTGAAAACCTGGGGGCCCATTCCTCGGATAAGATGAAACGAGTCATGGTTTGTGGGCTAGAGCTGGGCCTTATCATTGTTCTATTAAAGACAGAGGACTTGAATGGCATGTTGAATGATCAATATTTCAAAGATGAGGAACACCGTTAGTTAGGCAGATCAGCAGGGTAGGTGTGCTGCAGGGATCTGGGGATGGAGAGCAGAGACCTAAAGGGCTGGAGGAGGATAAGAAGTCAAAGCAAGGATGGAAAGAGCTTTTGCTGTGCATGTGTGTAAGAGCACAGTCCAGGAGGCTGACCCCAAACTTTCACGCCTCCCAAACTGCTGGGATTATAGGCATGAGCCACCATGTCTGGCCAATGTGTAGCCCAGGCTGGCCTCAAACTCGTGATCCTCCTGTCTCGGCCTCCTTCAGCAAATCCTACCAGCCTATGCCACCACATGCTGAGTGGTGGTGGTGCATGCCTTTGATCCCAGCACTCAGCCGACAGAGGCAGGAGGATCTCTGTGGAATTTGAGGTCAGCCTGGTGCACAGAGTGAGTTCCAGGACCATCAAAGCTACACAGAGAAACCCTGTCTCGAAAAACCAACAACCAAAACCCAAGACGAAAGGGGGAGGGCACAGCCCTGCTGCGCATGGAACAGTGTGCTAACCTCTAGATGGGTTCTAACTCCAACAGTCTGGAAGGTTGACTTTGTGACATGTAAGAACCCTACATTCCAGAGAAGACCATCGGCCCCAGAGCGTAAGGGTGTGGGAGAGCTTTAGCCCAGAGCTGTGCAGATTTCAGAAGCGAGTACATCTCTCCCGCCCCGGTTTATATCAGCAGAAAGAAACGTGATGAGAACTACTGACCGCAATACTACAGCTTGTTGCTGAGACGCCAGTGTGGAGACACGGGGATCCTGAATACGGTGTTCCTGCTCAGTGGTTACTGGGCACTCGAGGCCTGCCCGTCGGGCTCATAACACGGAGCTTTAGATTTGACTCCCGGAATGGAAAAGATAAACAAGAATTTGATCTAAAATTCAGCATAATACCATGAGTCAGATAGGAACGGAAAGGAAGCAAGATCACAGGAGGTCATTGTACAGAAGATACGGAGCTGCACGCTAAGAAAAAACACTCAATGATTGTGAGGCTCTGGTCGTTTGCTGAGTTCTGAGAAAGTTGGTGTGAGTGTAGCCGAAGGAAGCAAGCAGACAGACAAATGCAGGTCTGTTGTTGATCACACTGTGGCAAGAGACGGTCTGCAGCCCAAGAAGAACCACGATTTTGAATCAGGAATCCCACACGCCTGGCATCTAACTAGTAAGTGGATCCTCACTTGGTTTTACTTATCAGTTATCTTCCCACCTATATCTGCATGATTAAACTTTATAGAAACCTCATGACTTCCATACCGTTATTGTTTCATCTTTTTAAATGGGCCACACAGAAAAGTTAAGCAGCAAGTCCCCTCTCATACACCACCGTGTGGCTGCACTCACAGTTCAAGCAGAGTTCATCTCACTCCGGATGTTCTTAGGCAGGAAACGGATGCCATTTGCATGGCATGCACATTTGAAGGTGGGGAGAAGGAAAGGCTTGGTTAGTTTGTTTGTTTGGTTTTGTTTGGTTTAAATTTTTCTTTTCATCTTGAGAAATTGTATGCATGAGTAGTGTATTTGCATAACGCCTACCACCTCTACAACCTCTTTCCTCCAACTCCTCCCAGGCCCCTGATGCAACTCCCCCTCGACTGTACAACTTGTTTTATTATTACTGGTGTAGGAGTGTGAGTGTGTGTGTGTGTGTGTGTGTGTGTGTGTGTGTGTGTGTGATTCCAACCTGCTGAGTATGTTTAGTGCTGCTCATACGTCAAGTGTTTGTCAAAGTGCACTGAACATGGACTCATGTAAATGGAGACTGCTCGTTCGTTTCCCAGCCACCTAGACCCAAATAATCACACAGAAGCTATATTAATTACAATTCTGTTTGGCTAATAGCTTAGGCATATTCCTAGCTAGCTCTTACATCTTTAATTAACCCATTTCTATTTATCTGTGTATCACCATGAGGCTGTGGCCTACCAGTAAAGGTCTGGCGTCCTTGTCCTTCGGCAGCTACATGGCGTCTCCTTGACTCTACCTTCTTTTCTCCTCCATCTCTGTTTGGATTTCCTGCCTTGCTATGCTCTGTTCTGCTGTAGGCCAAAGAAGCTTACTTATTAACAATGGTAATAAAACATATTCACCATATACAGAGAGGAATCCCACATCAGACTTTGTTGATTTCACTCTCCCTTGAGGTTTTTTTTTTTTTCTTTTTTTTCAAATTAATGGATTGGTCCTGAAGACCCTCAAGAAGGCGCTGTCAAAAGCAAGAACCTTGCCAAAGGCCAAAGGCAGCCATGGTATTTACAGCTATCCTTTTTCTTTCCAGTGGTTGCCACTTAAGTTGTGAAAGTATTAGGGATTCAGAGGTGAATTAGGTGAGATTTCTGCCTTCAAGAAGGGCACAGTCCAGAGTGGGTTGTCAATAGGCTTGCTTCTGTGCACAGACAGTTGCTCTCCAAATCATGGTTTACAAGGACTACTTCCTATAGAGATGTTGCTTAATGAGGAGAACTTAGGAGTGGAGAGAGTAGAAGACTGACCCTATAAACAAAGAATATTAAGAAGTAACAATTAAAAAAGTTGAATGCACATGAGTGTTGGAGAAGGGACACTTGTTGGTTCCCAGCCATCTGGCTAGCTTAGACCAAAAATAATCACACAGAAACCATATCATTTAAATCACTGCTTGGCCCATTAGCACTAGCTTCTTACTGGCTAACTCTTACATCTTAATTTAACCCATTTGTATTAATCTGTGTATCGCCGTGTGGCAGTGGCTTACTGGCAAAGTCTCAGAATGTCTGGTTCTGGTGGCAGCTCCATGGTATCTCCCCGACTCCGCCTCCTTTCTCCCAGCATGCCATTTAGTTTTCCCCACCTACCTAAGTTCTGCCCTATCAGCAGGCCAAGGCAGTTTCTTTATTCATTAACCAATAAAAGCAACACATAAACAGAAGAACCTCCCACACCACATGAGAAGACAAAGTTGTTTCTCATGGCTGGGGAATCAAGCATGTGTGATCACAGGAGACTGAATTCAGAGGCCACACTACGAACCTTATATAATACAGCAAGGAGTTTGGTGTTGGTTAATATATTTTTGAAGAAATTGAAGCTTTAAGTAGGAAGACAAATTATGTTTTTCTTGGAAAAAAAACATTGCAAATAATCGAAGAATAGAATTAATTCATCAAATATATGAAAGAAATTTTAAACTATTGCAGTAATCCAAGCAACAACTTCCAGACTCCTAAACTGAGGTTACAGTGGGTAAAACAGGAAGAGCGGAGAAGATACTTAGGCCAGGTCCCATGCTGTATGAAATGATGGTGCATATTTACACACCCTGCCTATCTTTCCTGCCTGACTACTGGCCAATCAGTGTTTTATTAAACCAATACAACTGGCATACCTTTACAGAGTAACAGGGTACAAGACCATTGTCCCACAGCACTTTTGTATGAAAGTTTTCAACCCATTCTATAGAATGGCTAAGAAGGAAAATCACCGTGTTGCCCCAGTGTGTGAGCCAGAAGCTTGAGAGATGTTAGTATGATTTCATGGGTTAGAAGAAAGTCTTGGTTGCAGCAAAGGGATGATGGAGGAAGTTTGCACTCCTGGTGGGAACTATAATAAGCTGGGCTGTATATATAGGCTTGGGACTCGGGAGAATTTGTTTAGAGATAGATGACAGTAGATGAAGCCATGGGTTCATAAGAGGCTGTCTTGGAAGGATGTGCAACAATGGGAAACATGGTATAACCCCTGGGGGTACAAGTGTTTGAAGTGAGGCCTAAAGACTTTGGTAAGGAATCTTCCAAGGAGGTAGGAAGACTGATGTTATGGAAACTGAGAGGGGCAAAAATTTCTATAGAAAGGCATAATCGATATTCATAAATTTATAAAAGATCAAAGAATTTAAGAGCAAAAATGAAGTATTCATTAGTTCATGAGACAGTGACACTGATAACCTAGGGGTTGATTTAATTAGAAGCCAGACGACAGTAGCTTGGGAACAAAGGGGATGTCGGAAATCAGAGCCCTGAAGTACAGATTAGAGTTTAAAGAAACTTTGCAGTTAAGAAATAGGAGATGGAAAGTAATAGGTGTGATCATGAGCATCTTTCTCTGCCACGGCAGCACAGCAGTGTAAAATGAGGAGGCGTGCTGCACCCTTCCTTGTTGGTTGTGACACTGAAATAGGGAAGGCACTAAAAGTAGAACAGAGGGCACCTCAATCTAAAGCAGAGGTTCTCGTCAGGCAGTGGTGGCACACGCCTTTAATCCCAGCACTCGGGAGGCAGAGGCAGGAGGATCTCTGTGAATTGGAGGCCAGCCTACTGGTCTACAAGAACTAGTTCCAGGGCAGGCAACAAGGCGACACAGAGAAACCCTGTCTCAAAAAACAAACAAACAAATAAATGAACAAATAAATAAATAAAGCAGAGGTTCTCAACCTCCTTAATGCTGAAACCCTTTAATACAGTTCCTCACGTTGTGGTGACCCCCCAGCCATAAAATTATTTCATTGCTACGTCATAACTGTTATGAACTGTAAATGTCTGACATGCAGGATATCTGATATGCAGCCCCACAGGGGTCATGAGCTACAGGTTGGGAATTGCTGCTCTAAAGAGACCTGCTTTTTCCCTTAGCATCAGCAACCAGCAGATCTTAGCGTTCGTGTGCCGCTTGTCCCTTTCTCCAGTTGGGAAGACCATTCTCTTCAATGTGATAATTCCCCTTCCTTTTCCTCACTGAGAAGGGTCTGTCTCTACGAGAAGACATTTTGGCACATCCACTTCAGTGATGGAAACAGGAACCCAAATTCCATCCTTGTTTCTCAGACACAAGATGACCTGATCCTGGCTCTAAAAGAAGACCTGTAGTGTCCAGATAAAATATTTGTCTCTTTCACAACCTTCCCCTGCCTTCCTGAAGGAGATTCTTAAAGCTTGCAACATCCGCGATGAGCTGACACCTGGATCCAGATCTCCCACTCGCACCTGTAGGAGCCTAAGCTTGTGTGGATTGACACAAGGTCCATGAGACCTCCCTCTCCTCCCTGTAGTAGACATGAGCTTATATGGGGAAAGACTGTTGTCTGTCTGTGTGTCCCCATAGCCCAGAATTTTCCAAGCTAAGTTCTTTGTCACCTTGGTACTTTGGCTTGGACATAGTCTTCTCCCTAAGGGAATCCTCCCTTAAGGTTCACATATTGAAAACACGGTCCCCAGTGCAGTGATATAAGAGGTACTGAGGTCACTAGAGAGCCCTGCCACAGAGGGAGTTTATATGGTTCTCTTTGGACCAGTTAAATCTTACAATGGGGCAGATATAAAAGAGCAAAATTGGATCCTGCCTTCCCTCTGGATTTATGTCTGACATCATGGTTCTTGTACCAACTGTCACCATCCGGATACCATTTGCTACACGGCCTCACTCAGAGAAGGTAACAGGGAGGGAACTATAAAAAGCATTAATAACTCATCCTTGAAAAGTATCTTAAGGCAGGGATGCCTTTCCCACAGATGCAGGGGATGTGAAGAGAAGGGTTGGAGTGTGGGAGTGTCAGAGAGGAACAGGGAGGAACTAACTGCCTACTTAAAATACTCCCTCTGGGGTGAAACAGATCCACATGAGACCCAGAGGCTCAATGTTTAAAAATCTAGTCTGGAAAGTGGAGAGATGGCTCAGTCGATGGCAAGAACACTTGCTGTGCAAGCATGAGGACCTGAGTTCAAATCTCCAGACACATAAATAGCTGAGGATGGCCACACTCAATCTGTAACTCCAGCACTGGGGCATGGGGAGAGGGGGGATCCCTGGGGCTTACTGTCCAGCTCTAGTTGCAGTGAGAGTTTCTGTCTCAAGGGACGAGTTCAGGGCATGATGGAGCAGGACACTTCACTTCCTCCTCCTTTGGCACTCATATACGTATTGTGCATACATCACACACATATTACACACACACACACACACACACACACACACACACACACACACCAGTTATGCAAGCTCATGGGCCACCAGCTCAGTCACATCTTCGACATTTTTAGATCTTATCCCAACAAGATGAAAAACATCCTTCCCAGCCTCCTGGCTGCACTCAAAATACCTCAGTTTGTGTCCACAGTGTGACCAGATAAATATGAGTCTGCTCACACAGAGGTGAATTGGAATCTCAAAAGATCTGAGATCATCCTGTTTGATTTATATAGAGATTTTACACACGCACACATACACACACACGGCGGGGGGGATTCATAGTTGGTACAATATTTGGTGAAGGAAAAAAGTAGAAAAAAATAAAAGAAATGAAGTACCAAAGAGTGTGAACCATTGCTTTTCAGGCATGGCTGCCCCTCGTAATACTGATTAGCTAATGCCCAGTATGGGAGAATGTGGAAGAACTTTTGAGCTAGAAGGAAGTTCAGTATTAACACTGACTGGTGTTCTTTATAAACACTGGTGACCTCAGACTTCAGCGAGCCATGGTAATTTTTACACCTCAGTCCCATTGGATCCCGTTCAACTCACTAAGCCAAAACATTAAATCTGTCCAAATTTTAAAAATTAAATAAATGTAGCAGGGAGTACTGGATTACCAATTCTGCATTCATTTTTCTTCCATTTTCTTGTTAAAGATTGTGTGTGTGTGTGTGTGTGTGTTAACGCATTCACTTGTATGTGGTTGCATGTTGGGGCAGCACATCCATGTTGGTATATGTATGCAGACTAGAGATGGATGCCAGGAACCACCTGTCTTATTTCTTGAGAAAATATCTCCCAGTCAAGCCCAGACCTCACCAACAAGGCTAATCTCACTGACTTGCTCTGGGGATTACCTATTTTCACCTTCTTGATTTCAGATTACAGGTGGTTAGCCACACCCACGCAGCATTTACAGGTGGTTAGCCACACCCACCCAGCGTTCCTCTGGGATCTGGGCATCTGAACTCAGGTCCTCGGGCTTGTGGCAAATGCTTTAACCACCGAGTCATTTCCCTAACCTCCAGTACTCCTGGGTTCTTGCCTCAACTCTACCAGTAAGCATTTGTAGCAAACTGATGAGGTACTGTGTGACCTTCAGTTTAATCATTCAGAAATTAGGATAAATAAGACTAGACTTTGATGCCCGTCCAGTTCACATGCCTCATTTGAACCCCAGTGGGGATTTTCAGATTAGATGCTTCTGAAGTACTGTGCACCAATAGACCGATTTAAGTTTAGCTAACCGGATGAAGCTGAGGCCTTTGCAGTCTTTTCATTTAAATTATATCATGAGTGCTGGAGAGATGACTCAGAGGTTAAGAACCTGGCTGCTCTTTCAGAGGACCCAGGTTCAATTCCCAGCATCCACATGGCAGCTCACAACTATCTGTAACTCCAGTTCCAGGGAATCCAACACCGTTACACAGACAATTATACACAGGCAAAACACCAATGTTCATAAGACAAAAATAAATTATTTTTAAGAATGAATTAAATTATATCATGACAGCTACACAGCCTTATTTTAATAAAAGAACATCGGGCTCTCATGTAACAGCTTGAAGTTCTAGGGATTTTTCCTGTTAAAAAAAACAATTGAGTACATGTATAATTATGTGACTGATTGTGTGGACAACAGAGCTCTGAAATGTACCCAGAGCAGTAGTAGAAAGGGACTCTCCCCTTAGGCCTAAATAGCCATCATGTGTTTTGGTCTGAATTGAATCTTATATTTTTTTCTTCCTCCCTTTTAAACAGGAATTTTTTGACAAAGGATGATGGAAAAAATCCTGCAGAAGTTAGATGCCCTGGATGAGGACACAAGGATACTTGCAGCCATCAGAGCAAAGGTATATGAAGTGGATGTTAATACTGTGGTACTCATTAAAAAGTTAACATTTCAGATGAGATTTTTACTTTATGATTAATGATGCATTAATATGACAAGTTTATTTATATCCTAATATAAATTACTTTCAACTTTGTAAACAGATCAGTTGAAAATCACTTATTTAAGTAAAAGACTTATTAAGTAATCGAGAATGTAACTCAGTGATAGAGAGCTGGCCTAGTATACTGGAGGCCCCAGGACCACAATAAAAATAACAGCAGTGATAAAAACTAACTATATAAGATCACTTCCAGGTAGCTGTCATGTGCCTGGTCATATATGTATCAAAACTTTACTTTAGAAAGTACTGCCTCCCAACCACTAAATACTGCTACCCACAGTTGTTAGCAATATGCTAAGTGTATACAAAGTTACTTAGTAGATACATGGAAAGACCCAAGTCCCTAAAGCACCCCTAATCTGGTAGCTATGTGTGATTCACAGCCACTGGACCAGGAAAAAATCCATTTTCTTCAATGGAGTGACACTGCAGGGCAGGCCTCAGGCTCAGGAGTAGTTAGTCAACACAAATTAGACTCTATATTTACTTGTGTTTTTTTTGTTTGGGTGTTGGGTTTTTTGTTTGTTTTAAGAAAGAAAGAGGCAGCCTGGCCGTGATGGCACACATCTTTAATCCCAGGATTGGGAGGCAAAGGCAGGTGGATCTCTGTGAGTTCAAGACCAGTCTGGTCTATAAGAGCTAGTTCCAGGACAGGCACCAAAACTACAGAGATACCCTGTTTGGAAAAAGCCCATAAAAAGAGAAAGAAAGAAAGAAAGAAAGAAAGAAAGAGAGAGAGAGAGAGAGAGAGAGAGAGAGAGAGAGAGAGAGAGAGAAAGAAAGAAGAAGGGAGGGAGGGAGGGAGGGAGGAAGGGAGGAAGGGAGGAAGGGAGGAAGGGAGGAAGAAAGAAGAGAGAAAGAGAAAGAAAAAGAAAGAGGCTGGGCGGTGGTGGTGCATGCTTTAATCCCAGCACTCAGGAGGTAGAAGCAGAAACAGATCTCTGTGAGTTCAAGATCAACCTGGTCTACAGAGTGAGTTCTAGAACAGGCTCCAAAGCTACAAAGAAGCCCTGTTTGGGAAAAAAAAAAAAACCAGAAAGGGAGGAAGGAAAGAAGGAAGGAAGGAAGGAAGGAAGGAAGGAAGGAAGGAAGGAAGGAAGGAAAAACATGAAGTTGTAGGTCTCAGTGAATAAGAGGAAAGAATATGATCAAAATATAGTATAAGAAAACCGGTCTCGCTGAACATAGCAGACAATGAGGACTACTGAGACCTCAAGAACAATGGCAATAGGTTTTTGATCCTACTGTACCTATTGGTTTTGTGGGAGCCTAGGCAGTTTGGATGCTCACCTTACTAGACCTGGATGGAGGTGGGTGGTACTAGGACTTCCCACAGGGCAGGGAACCCTGATTGCTCTTTGGGCTGATGAGGGAGGGGGACTTGATTGGGGGATGGGGTGGGAAAGGGGAGGCGGCTGGGGGGAAGAGACAGAAATCTTTAATAAATAAAGAAAGAAAGAAAAAAGAAAAAAAGAAAGCATTTGGAAATTTTTTTTAAAAAAAGAAAATCCTCAAAAAAAATTTAAAAAAATGGAAATGCTACTGAATTAAGAATAACTAAACTATACAGAAACAAAGCAAACTAAAATAGGCAGGACTCAGAATTCAAGGCGAAAGAGAACAGATAATACTTCCCAAATACTAGAGTTTTAGCATATATGAGCAAGTTGATTTCTGATCCCTGGAAACTCTTTTTAAAGTGAGTACTACAGGCTCACAGTCACCTATAGTTCTAACAGCCATCCAGCAGGGAGGAAGCCTGTAGCTTAGTCTGTCTGACTTCTCCCTGTCCTGTAGCCACAGTGTGTGACGCCTCCAGCCATATGGTCTTTCCTAGTTCAGCTCTGACAATCCACAGTACAAACAACAGCATTACCATTTCAGTGGTCTTGGGGACCTCCATGGGCAATTACTCATGGGGTGGCACCCAACATTTCCACTGGAACCATCCCCTAACAGCCCTATTGCTCTTGGAAGTGCCTTTTCAGCTCATGCTTCTTTCAAAGTCTTTAATTGGTATTCCTACAATGTTCTTCCACAATGTCTTTGCAAATCTGTAAAAAGATCACTAGTATTCTAGTGTAGTAGTTCATATTATACATTATGTAATTTGAAAACCTTTTTATACTCATTTCAAGCAAGTATTAATTAATCTTGGAATTTAAAAATTAAGGAGATTATTTTCAGTTCGCAAGGTTTACTGTAAGAAGGAAAGATCCCATCACTTGAACCATTGTCTCATCAAAAAGACAATGCTGACTGCAGCAGTGTGGATGGAAATGCTCCCTCATCTGGCTTTCCCTGATCCCCTGTCATCTTCTATGAGACATATGGCCTCTTCATCCTAGGGTGCTGACACTGCTGTAGGTCGACTGTGCATCTCCCACCCCCAAGAGTACCAAATGAAGCCTGATCCTCGCTGATTTCCATGGAACGGGGGAAAAGGCATTCATGCATTGACCTGGCATTCCTGCATCTTGAACTGGCTCTCTGGGTGAGGGTGACAAACTCCAAGTCAGAGCTGAGGCCTCACCTCTCCACCAGTGATACCTGACTGGCCAAAGGGCTGTAAACGGAGTGAAGAGTCTCCACACTAGTGTACTTTCTTGCAACGAATAAATATAAACATATTCACTGGGAAACATCATTGCCTACTCCCAGGACAAGCTTAATCATTTCCACTCATGCTGTTCTGTCCCTGTATCCATCTATTGCTGACCATTGCCTCTGGTACTTTGGGGAGCTGGCATTAACTAAAGTATACTTAGCTCCAGTAGCCATCGAAACACAAGCGTTTTGCACATTAATCAGGAGCCCACAAATCTCCAGTTCGATGCGGAGCCTGCGATCATCATTTGCCAGTTACCTTGGTACACTATCAAAGGGGATTTCCTTCCTCCACATCTAGGAGTTGATGAGGGCACCTGGTACCTCTCTGCATTTTACTCTGTTCACACTGGTGGCTTTGCCATCCAGTCTTTAAAGCCTTCCACAGAGTCATAAGCACAGTATGTGGATCTCTAGCAACCCCGTCTCCCAGAGGGAACTCTGCTTGACACAGATCGTGCCACCTTTGCTTTCAAGTAACGTGGACAGGTCCAGTTATCCTTTTTCTTCACCTGAGTGTTGTAGACCTTTCTGATTCTAACTCACCTGCTGGTGTAAGTCATTCAGATCTGCCAGAGCTTTCCTTCCTCGTAAAGATTGCATCCCACTGTGGAGCTCAGCAAGGCTGGTAAAAACCCAGTTCGGTATCTGACGTCCATTCCTACTCAGCTTTGTGGAATGGGCATCAAACACTGCCTCTCAAAGTCACACAATTCCCTCAGTAATGCCTACCTAGCCTCTGCTGTCTTCTGGTCCCTGATATATGGGCACCCGAGCTGGCAGTAACTGGCTTGTAAGTGCCAGTCCATCAGGAATCTGCTTCCCTCTGATTTCCTCAGATCCCTCAGCCTTGGTCTGAAGGAGGAATGAGTAGCTCTATTACCCAGTTTCTCTGCTTCTCCTGCACACAGCTCTGTGCCCCTTGACCTCTATAGTGTAGTGAGGCACTCTTCTCCTTACCTAGAAGTCTTTCCTGTTGAAGCCACTCAGATGTTATCCCCTGCTTGCCAGAGTTTCCTACACTGTGCCCTTTTGATTCCTGTCTGCATGCTGAACTGTGGGTTTTCCTTTGAGTTGAAACTCAGACCCGAGGGCTTTCTTCAGCCACTCGCTCCTCTCTTCTCGCTCGCTAACTTTCTCCTAGGTTCTAAGACCAGTTCCCAGGAAGGGCTGTATGGCAGATCTAGCTTGTACTCTTCTCCCACGGAATCCTCCCCACTGTGAGAAATACCAAGTCAACACCTACACCTCATTCTTTTGTTTCATCTTTTCTACCACATCAGAGGCTAGTGTTGAGGTTTGCATCTGCATGCCTTTTTCCTGTGGGAGTTTCTTCCTTACATGGGTAAGTTCATTTTGGTTGAACAGATGAACCTGGTTACAAGCGATGCCATACCCTCCTTACCACCATACCCATGTCATTTCCAATGATTGTAATATATTACCTTATCCATTAGCCAGTTGGAAAGCATCTCCTTACTTACATCATAGACTTTAGTCATCCAAGAAGAATGTGACCACCTTTCACTTAGAGAAAGATGATCACCCTGGAAGATCTTGCAAAGATGCTGAACTCTCAGATGGCTCCATCCTGGTTGCATGTCTTAACACCCATAACTGATACATAACATGCAACTGATACTATAGAAGGGAAGCCCAGTATCTCATACCACACAGGAAAGACAGCCATGTCAGGATTGCATACAAAGGATGCTCTACCCTCACATAGATCAACATCAGTAGCATGTCTTATTACCCATCACAAGTGGCATGTAGCTTCACCTTTCCAAATCATATTTGCTTGGTGGTCCCTGTGCGGATGTGAGTATTTGGTTCTGTTCTGGAGAGACACAGCAAATATCTGCTTATCACAGATGGAGCACAGACAATAGATCAAAGACCTGGCGAACCAATGAGTTTATTGGGGTTTCTTATGAGAGCATGCAAAACTCATATATCACCAAACAACCCAATCCAGCATTGATGATAACACATAAAAGCCACATCCCTGGGTTCCCTTCCCAACTTGCAGGTGGCTCCATGGAAGAGGCTCCTCTTCTCCAGCAGCTTGTTACAACTTCTATAAGTCAGGGTGGGACATTAAAAAATCTTTAACTTTCTCAACTTCCCAAGTCTTATAAATTCCATGAGCTTCCTGTCTTTCAGCCCTCCCTCTTCCCTCCAGGCAGGAAGGTTTCAATTCAGAGGAAATGAGCAATTTTATAGGTCTCTCCTTTAATTCTAAAAATTTAGAGTTAGAAGGGCCCCTGCATGGTTATGGGGCGTTGCTTTTTATTAAACGGATGGGGAAGGCATCATACATGTCACACAGTAAAGGTACAAGGCTCTTTTCAGATTTTAGTTTGTAATGTTTTCAGTCTTTAATTTTAAATCTGAAATATTTTCCATTATTCCCTTACACATGAATTCTCTTCTCTCTGTGCCCCCCCCCCCGTGTGTGTGTGTGTGTGTGTGTGTGTGTGTGTGTGTGTGTGTGTGTGGAGAGAGTGAGAGAGAGGTTAACTTTTGTTCTTGCTGTACAGAATTTTGCCTGTAGAAAGAACACTTACCTTTTCATTTTGGCTTCATTGCAGAAAGCCAGTGTTCAGCTTGAACAAAGGAAAGACTGTTTGACCACGCCCCTGTTCTTCGATCTTCACATGGACCCTGAAGGCACTGCTGCTTCATCTGTACTTAAGACAGGAGCAGAGATCAGAGAAGATAAGTCATGTGGCCCTAAGAAGTCAAAAACGTAGCTATCATAATTCTGCTGAACATTTTAAAGTGCTCTGTTTGCCTCAGACTATCTGATACTGTGAGAAACTAAAACTTGCCCAGCGTAGTGGCTTCCACCTTCCATCTCAGCTCTAAGGGAGGCAGTGATTCGTTCTGAAGAGCTCTGATCTCTGCTCCTGAACAAAGTCCGCTCTCCCTTTTTAATTGGACAGCAAAGTATGGTGTTGGAAAGAGATGAGGAATGTCTGTCTTGACAGTTTTATACAGCAGCAGCCTCATTAAGGATGATACTGTGTTTCTGACTCTTTGGGCTCAGTAGCACACAAGGACATGAGCAGATATGGTCACACACCACCAGTCTGTACCCACGTGTTGCTTTCAGCACTTGTGGAAGTTGAAGCATTGCTTTCAATATTCAGCTGCTTCAGCAAATGGTCTTAGGTCTAGCCACCAAATCTTACACACACACCTTGCTTGGAGTCAGGGCCATGAATGGGCGATGAAAGGGAAACAGGAACCATGATACTCTGCAGAGCCAAAGCATAGTAAGTCTGATTGTAATGTTTTTGTTTTTGCCTTTTTTAAGGTCAATTTATTTCCCACAGGTTGAGTATAGCATATGTAAACAGAACAAATGCATTGTTATAAATGGCCTCAACACATACATTAACTTGGTTACAGTTTGTTTGATCTGTAAGGCAAGCTTCAAACCACATTTCTAAACAAAACCATCCCCACAGTAGCATATGAGGGGTTGATGGTCTAATTTTCAGTCTGAAGTTGAAGGCCTGAGAAACTGGGGGAAGGTGGGAGTATTTGGAGTCTTGGAACCCAAGGGTCAAGGGACCTAGAACTTTGGTACCCAAGAACAGCCAGAGATGAGTGCATCATTTGTGGAGGAGGGAGAGTCGAGTTGTTCTATTTAGAATCCCAGAGGATTGAATGGCACTTGCCTATACTGTGAGTCCACCAACTCTTGGACCTACCTAGTCTAGAAACAACCTCACAGACATACCCACAGGGAGAATTATCTGCCAGTTCTTTAGGTAATCTTGGATTCAGTCAAAGTGGCACTTAAAAAACTTAGCCACCATACTGTTAACCAAGAGATGTTAGGGTCAAAACTCAGGTGCCCCTAACCTTAACAAGCTAGGCTCAGCCACTCATCCTCAGTATACCATAAAGAAATGACAATAGGAGGCAGAGAAAGCAGGGTTGTTCACTGTGGCCACACTGAATAAATTGGAAAACAAGTAAATAGGTCCAGTGGCATGTAGTACACACACACACACACACACACACACACACACACACACACTTTCAGAGTCCTGACATGGAATTTAAGTTTAAATAGAGGGCAAGGGGCCTGCCTAGCTAAGCACTGTGGTCCTGCCCATCCTCACTGCTTCCTCCCCAGGTCCTCTGAGCGGTGACAATTGTAGGCACTGTGCTAAGTCTCTTTCTAAGAAACCAGCTCCTCTGGCTGGTGCGAGGCTTCAGTCCTCTCCTTTGCTCAGCATGGAACTCTTTGAGACATTTCAATCTTTCAGAGTCCACCATTTCAAAGAGTCTGGTACAAGTTCCCCTCCTTAGAACATCTGTGCTCCTCTTGGGACAGTTGCAATACCTAGAATAAAGAGCTCGAAGTGAAATTCTCCACGTAATACACAGGTGCTGTCATCCTATCTGATGTATGAGCTGTCCCTGAGTCCATATGTCCCCACTTTCCATTCAAATCTGTCCCCCAAATCTCATGGAACTAAGTTCTGATGTGTGTCCTGGTCAGCTGGTGAATACTGGCACCCCGTGTGCCCTCATTCCTGCCCTAGAAGTAGGTTTTTCCTGTCCCCTCTACTTGGAATTCCATCTCCAGTAAGACTCAGTTTTCTGCCTTCAATCTGTAAAATGGACATGTTTCTCCAAATTAGGAGTTTATATCTGTTTTGTAAATTTTCTGACCATTTTATTTCTTCCAGGCACGTATCTTTCAAATGTACTCCTGAACACAGAAGTGACTTTAAAGAATCAGATTCATCTGCTCTTGCAACAGATGCAAACTACGAAGAAAGTAAGTCAATAAGGAATGTTGTGTGTAATATACTCATTTCTCCTTACAGTTGCTAGTGGGTGCGATTAAGTAGTAACTTATTAATTACTTTATCCTCCTCCATCTACTGTATAATCACAAGCGTGCGCACATACACCACACACACACACACACATTTAGATGTAATCTCACCTTCTGCCCGGACTGGACTTGAACTTCTGGACTCAAGAAATCCCTCTGGCTCATCTTTTCAGGTAACTGAGACTCCAGGCACACACCATCATACCTGGTTCACAAATACATTTTTATAAATATATTTTTATGTTTATATGGTTGTTTCATTTATTTTTCTGGGGAAACAGGAAGAAATAGCAATGACACCAGACAGATAGGGTACCAACAGACCAAGAAAAATAATTTCATTTAAGTCGAGTCTGATAAATCAAAAATCCATTCAGATTATTTCCATGAGTATACATGGGTGAGGGGTTGTTTACAGGAACATGGATGGCTCTTGCCAGGATACCACCAGGAAGTCCCTCTTCCAGCAGCTACTTAAGAACCCTAACCCCCAGTCAACCTTCCCACCTTCTGTATTTGCTGGTATCCCTTCTTCCCAAGCCGTGTGCACAGGATCAAAATTGTGTGCATCTAGAAGCAGGGGTAGGGGAAATGGAGACTGGAATCTCACCCGAGAGCCTGGTGACCTTCACCTCCCCTAAGTAGGAAAGCTAATAGCTCCGACTGTATCGTCCTCACTTCCTTACACACAGAAGGTCAAGTCATCCTGCGTGTCAACACAGCTCTTGCTGAGTCATGATGGCCAACGGTCAATCTAGACATACCTAGAGGAAATAGTTCTACTATGGGACTATTTGTCTTTCTTCTAGAAAGAAATGCCAACTTCTCTTTCAACTCAACCCTAAGACTTTCCTTGCAGCTAAAAAATAAAAGTCAAGTATGAATAGCTTGTTTAGTAGAAGCACACTTACAGGATTAGAAGTTTTAGGGACTGGGGTCCCAGACCAAGTGTTCTATACATTTTCAGAGGGTCCTCAATGGTGTTCGTTACTTTTGCTCTCCTCTGTCATTGTCACCTTGGTGGAGTACACTGTCATCACCCTGCTGGACGGAGGCTTCTTGGCTCCACTCTGCCCCACGCTGTCTTCCGTCTGTGTCGTGCTCTATAAATTCTCTAAATGTGTGTTTACATGCCACGCATGGTCTTTACTCTCTCCATTCCTCCTTAAACATCAGCCCACTCCAGGCAGGATCCCTCCCTCGCTACTCAGCTTAAAGGGCACTGACCAGGATTACCAGTGGCCCCAGTGTTGCCAAGTTCAAACAACAGCTTTCATTTCTGTTTTCTTCGACTTCTCCAGACTTACTTGCTCATCCCCTCCTTCTCACAATTTTCAGCTTTAAGCTTTTGAGACTGTTGAGACCAAACTCAACTGTCACTCAAAAGAAATAAAAATAATAGTTTATTTTTAACCCAAAACGAGTGTCCGTGGCCTAAGAACATGGATTCCGATCACCCCTAATAGCGTGTTTCAATGTGGTAAAGTATGCTTGAAGTTATCATAGTTAAGGCACAAAGGAAAGTCATAAGCCAAGGTATTTTCCAACTGTACCAGTGGGAACATTGAGGTTACAGACAAGTGGTGGAATCTCAGCTAGAGGTTTCCCATGTTTTCTGATAACTTTCTTACCTCTGGGGATGGTGGAATCTCATGTTTGACGAAGTCAATACATTCGGGAAAGATTTACCTGAGAGTCACCAGAATGTTTGGTCATACACAGATGTAGGAAATGAATGGCTATTGAAAATCTAATCAGAATGTTATAGCAATCAAAAAGCAGACTCTTGATAGCTCATTTTATTGCAGAGAGCCAGCAATCTCAGAAACCACAGGAAATCTGCCCGGAGCCAGCTCCCGCTAGTGTATCGTCTAGGGAGCCTGTACGAGGCAATTAATCATTTCAGAGTTTTGTCTTGAACTTCAGCTCGAGAAGCCTGCCTTGTCCGAGAGATTCACGATACTGTTGCTTCTCTCCTTATCTCTCCCTGAACATTCTCCTCGTTATCAGCTCTCTCTGTGTCGTGAGGAGCTCGTGTACACCTCCGGCTCCCAAGCCCTGCGTTTTTTCCTGAGTCACCATCCAGACTCTATCTATGTTAAAGGTTAACTCAGAGCAAACAAAGCATTAGCAGTGTGCATGGCTGGGCTGCTTTTCATGCAAAGGTTGTGAAGTTTAAGCATGCTTTCATACTGCAGAATAGGAAGCTCCCCTATCCGTCTCCTATTCTTTCCTACTGTTAACAATAACTCGTATCGGCTCCACATGAAGTTTGGCTTCTGCAGCTGGGCATATGGTTACTAGTTGAGCGTCTTACCAGCAAGGGAGACTGTGTAAGTCAGAGCACCTTTCCGACAGCAGACAGATGCTCAGGGGAGTACTAGCAAAGGGAAAAGCAGGAAGGCTGCCCGAGGCCAGGAAGGCTTGGGAGCCAGGAGGCACAAAAGGTGACACTGGAGTCCTCGTCTATTCTTTGTCAGAGACGGTGTCATCAGCTGCTTTAGCTTTATGTCCATCCAACTAAGCTTTACCTGTCGGATAAAACAGCCTCTTTCTGCATTCTTTATGGCTACCTCTCAGTACTAAATGATCTACGGTAGCCCATTTTCCAGGGCTGCTTCCCCAACTTGACTTGATTCCTGTCTAATAGCCCCAACAGCTTTTACCATAGACTAAGATGCTCAGCTTCTGTGTGAGAGTCCTGAAGTGGCCTCTCAAGTGTTCACGGGTATATGCATGGTCAGAAATGAGTGATCTGCTGGTGTGCTTTACACTCAGAAGTTTTATGTGCGGGAAGTGGCCCTCTTTTTCTTGCCCCATGAGTTAGTTACTTTTGCTGTTGCTGTGATAACATATTCTGACCAAAAAAAAATGGCTTGAGAAGCTCTGGGGTTACAGTCCATCATGGCGGAGAAGTTTAGGACATCTAGTGTAGCATCAGTGGACAGGAACAGAGAGACGGATGCAAACTCAGTTCCCTTTTCCCCATGGATGTAGCTCAGGATCTCAGGTCAGGGAATGGGTGGGTCTTCTCTCCTCAGTCAACCTCATGCAGATAATTCCACACAAGCATGTTCACAGACTTGTCTCTGGTGTAAGTCTGGATCCTGTCAAGTTGACAGCCGGTGTCAACCATCACACCCATAAGTCTGGTGTGCCTTCTGGGACAGCCTGTGAGCCTTCCTAGCTTCTGGTGCTTGCTGTTCATGAGCAGAGTCCACTTCAGATCTCCTGTCCATTTGAATGTCTGTGAGTCTCTGATGTAGCGTTTACCTTGCGTTGATAGCCAAGACTTAACTCCAGCAAACTGAACCACCTTCCATGGGCCAGTCCGCATCTCAGTCTCCCAGCGAGCCCGTGTTTCTGATTTTCAACAGAACCTTGTCACCAACAGCAGGCTCTCTGGCACATGCATCCGTTCTAGATACGTTTACAAACATGATTCTGGATTTTCCATCCCCACCCCCTTTCCTAGTCACCCAGTGTGAGCATGGTCTGGAGCAGATGTCCATAAACGATGTCATGAGGGCTCAAGCCGAGGGAACCTTAGGGAAGCTGCTCTTAGCTTCTCAGTGCAGGTGCGTCATGGCACAATTTCAACATTGTCCTTTCCAAAGCATGATTCATCCTTTCTACCTCATCTGAGGTTCGGGGCCACTGGGATATAGGTAACATCCATTTGATTCATGTTTGCTTGCCTTCTGTGTTAGCTCAAAAACAAAGGTAGGACAGTTATCATTATGTTATAAAAATAGTCCAAAATAGAGGGTAACCTCTCTCAGTCAGGCTTTAATAACTTCTGTTGCTTTGTCAGTCTATGCGGGAAACACTTCAACCTACCTTGAAAAGGTAGCAACACAGATTAGCATGTATTTGAACTCTCCTACTTTGGTATTTGAATAAAGTTGACTTGTCAGTCCTGGGATAGGTCTTGACCTTGGCTGTATAAAATCTGTTTCGTTGAGGTCAGTCTTTGTGTTATTGTTATTCTTTAAGATAAGATATATATCTAGCTAATGTTATGGTTCTCCATATGACTACAATAATCCACAGCTTATTATAGCAACTTTTCAAAAACTAACTCATGCAGTTGTTTAACCACTGGTCCCCCATGGAGGCCAGGAGGAATGCCATTCCTTTCTCATTTCTTGTCCAGTTGTCTTTTCCAGGTTCAGTAAACCTCCAGTGCTCTGGTTAGTCTTGATCCAGTCATCTGAGAGACTCCTCAGTAGGGAAATTGCTTAGATGAGATTGGCTTTTTGTGGGTATGTCCGTATGGCTTGATTACTGATTGATGCAGAAGGGTCCAACCCATTGTGGGCAGTACCATTCCTTAAGCAGGTACTGTAATGAATGAAAAAAGCTAGGTAAGAGAGAGCAAGTCAGAGAGCAAGCCAACAAGAAGAATTCTTGCATGTTTTGCTTGAATCACTGCCCCAACTTTTTCAGTAATGGATGGTGGCCTGGAAGTATACGCCAGATAAATCCTTGCCTCTTCAAGTTGCCTTTTTTTGAGTGTTTTATCCCAGCAACAGAAATCAAGCCAGGACAAACAGCCTACAGCCTTTTCTGTGGCAGAATCAGAATGCTGAGGCTCAAATCCAGACCAGTTAAGCCTGGGAACAAGTGGCAGCGTGCGATGAGCTTCAGTAGCTTGCTAGCCTGCATTGCCTGCTGGACAAGGTCCACCTCAACATGTGGTTCTCAACCTGTGGGTCGCGACCCCTCTGGGCTTGAATGACCCTTTCACAGAGGTCGCCTAAAACCATCTGAAAAAATAGACATTTGCATGACGATTCATAACAGCGGTAAAATTACAGTCATAAAGTAGCAATGAAAATAAATCTGTGGCTGGAGGACACCACCACATGAGGTATTAAAAGGTCACAGTATTAGGAAGGTTGAGAATCACTTCTTCAGAGGAGCCTGTAGGTGGAACCGCTGGCCTTCTAGGAAAAAAATAATTTATCTATGTCAGCAACTTAGTGATCCTTCCCCCGAAGACGACTATGTAAGTCAAAACTGTGTTTCTTAACCAAGATACAGTGGCATGTGCTTGTAATCCCAGTGCTTGAGAGGTAGGGACTGTAGGATTGAGAATTCAAGGCCAGCCTTTGCTGCAAAGCCAAGACCGGAGTATGTAAGACCCAGTTTAAGAGAACACACGCTACCACCACCACCACCACCACCAAAAGCATCAGAATCAAGCCCTGTCTCTTGTACATTCCAGAGATATCAGAAACCACAGGTGATCAGGATTGCTCACCATCTTGTTTTTTTTGGGGGGGGGCTTTTGTGATCAGATGATCTATTACTAACTAACTATGCTTATATTAAGAAAATCTATTATGTAATAATATAAACAAATAGCATCTATAATTAGAAAAAAGGAAATACAGGTCGAAGAGAATACTTCTCTTTTCCAATGATTTATTAAAGATTATTTTACAACTTAAAAGGTTATTTTGAATAATATGTATGCTTCTATTTTATTTAGAAAGTTCTTTTCCAAGAAAATAATAGTGTTGCATAACAAATAAATATTTGAAAATTATATTCTATCATTTAAAACCTCACTTTTAAAGGAAATAATTTCAGAGGTTGGCAAAGGTGCTTGCTGACAAGCGTTACGACCTGAGTTGAATCCCTGGGATCCACCTGGTGGAAAAGGACAACAGATCCTTTTCCCACAGGTTGTCCTCTGATGTCCACACATGCTCTGTCATGCCTGCACCCGTGCACATACATATCTGCAGAAATCAATAAATAAATGCGATGAAGAATTTGACTCATTTTGAAATGAATTTATCTCAACAATTATAAAAACATTGCATATGTAAGCAAATAAGATTATTAAAGTATATGTCTAAAAATGTACTAGTCGGACAGGCAGTGGAAACTGAACGATGTGTGATGGAGAGATGGGTAAGATGGAAATGCAGAGGTATGTGCTCTGTGGAGAGAGGCAGAACTAGAGACGCGACAACAACGAGGAAGGACCAGGCTGATGTGGGTGACCTGTGGTTACCACCTGAGACCAAGGGGATGTCCAAGTCCGTGCTGCTGCCCAGGGCCATGTCTGGGTCCAGGGTCTTACTGAAGCCAGGGTCTGTGTTGATGCCCATGGCCCAGGTTGCCGCCGAGAGCTAACAGATGTCCCTGGTTTTTGCTGCTGCCTGAAGCCAGGTAGATGGCCTTGGCTCAGGCTGCCTCCAAAGGCCTTGTCAGGGGCCAGGTTCATGGTCTGTGCTGTCACCAGAAGCCATGTGGAAACCCATTATCCATGTTCCCCCTGTCTATAAATAGCAGGGAAGCTACTTTTGCAGTGATATCAAGACACACAGTTGAGAAAGAGGGACCTGGAAGGATTCTGTGACAACCCCTATGACCCCAACTCTCCCACTGACCCCACCACTGAAAGTAGCAGCCTAAACAGGACGCCTTCAAAGAACTCTTTAAAAGTGTAATAAGGATGCTGAGGTTAGCTCTCCACAACTGAAGGCTTCTGGTGGGGGTGCGGGAGAGGAATGAGTCAGTTCTATTTAAGGGACAGGCCACTTGAGACTTTGACCCTGCTCCAGTGAGTCCTTAGATAACACAAATAGGACTTGGATCTTTTCTCTATTTTTTTTAATTTTTATTCTTTTTAATTTTGGGGGCGGGAGATATCTCAGGTTGGGGGTGGGACTTGGAATGACTAGGAACTGAATGTTCCTAGTGCATGGTGAAATTCCCAAAGAATCAATAAAAATCTTATGTTAAAATATTTACTAGTAGTGGAGATTTTAGAAGTGATTTTTTAATCATTTTTTGTGTGTTTGGATTTCCTTAGGACCAAGAGAAGAAAATCTAAAGCTGAGTCCCAGATTTCTTCATTTTCTTAAGGATAAAACAGAGGTGGGTGTGATTTGTGTGTTTGTGACTCTTTAGTAGCTATTTAAGCTAGTTCAAATAACTTTGTTTTTATGTGTCACAATCCAAGTGAAGTTTAGAATCCAAAGGTATGCGTGTAAAGCAGTTTCATCTGATATGATGTAGTCTTGTGTATGAAGACAACACAAAATTATGCATATGCTAAAGCAATACACATCTAATTTAAATATTTACTTAAAAGCACAAATACATAAACCTGTTGATCTTTTCATGTGTAGCTCAGGCAATTTTTTGAGCTATGGTTAGAAGATACAATTACAGTAACTGCCAAGAACTGGTTTCCAATCAACCAGTCATTGAGGGGGCTTCTCCTGCATCCTTCAAGCTTGCCCTCTTCCTACATTGAGCATGCCCCTGGCCACTATCCGGCAGGTCACACCTAGGGAACTAGAGAGATGAGTTGGTCCAGAGAATCAGCGAGGGTAAACTAGAGTCTTTTAAGTCTGTATTGATTTGCTATTAGCTGACCTGGAGAAAGAAACATGAAGCTATGCATGCTTAGTCATGATCATTACTACGTATTATATTTTAGCCTTTGGGGGGCAGCACTGGTATTATGTTAAGCTTAGAGCTTCATGTGTTCTATGCAAATCTTCAACCACTGGGCTGTGCCTCCAGCCATCTACCTATTATTTTTGTTTCACATTCCTAAATTTTAAAATTAAAAAAAGCATTAGTATCTATGCCCCAGGTTATAGGTTTATTCTTATGTATATGCTTAAATCCCCACTTAGTAAAAATCTCCCAGAAATTGTATAACATCACAATTTGCTCATCATCATAATTTACTAGCCATCTTAGTTAAAATATACAAAATTTTAAGTGAAAATTTGCCAGGACCTTCTCTTACCGGTATTACTCTGCATAGACTTGAGAATGTACCTAATGTTTCAGTTTCTTTGCCTATTGCTATCATAAAACACCATGACTAAACCAACTTAAGGCAAAGGGGCTTACTCTGGCTTACGTTCCAGAGAATCTTGGTGTCTCCCAGTAAGAGATACAGGACAAGGAAGGCATGACGGCAGTACAGGAGACTGACCGCTCTCATTGAGTCTACTCTCAAGACATAGAGCATTGCCATGGAGCCTCCACTTCCTCCATTGAAGCTCAAACTCCTGAAGATCCCACAGACCCCCCCCAAACAGCACCAGCAGCCAGGCTGAAGGCTGAGCCCCTGAGAGCACTTCCTATTCAAACCACAGCAGCTTGGTGTGGCAATTTTACTTCAAACAATTCTATTTTGGGCTCAGTGGACCATGACTTAACCTCAAACATATAAGTATGGGTCCCCGTGGAGTCCAGAAGAGGCTGGGAGGCCCTCCAGAGATGTGTGGATGGGCAGTTGTGACCCACCAAATCTGAGTGCTGGGAACTGAGGTCCCCTGCAAGAGCAGCAAGCACTCAACCACTGAGTCCTCCTCCAGCTTTAAAGTGACTCAGTGTGTGCTAAGATGATAATTCCTTGGGGTTTTTGTTTAGATAAATAATTGTAATGTTGAGTAAAATTACATTAATTCTGATTACTATATTTTCACCGTTATTTACTTTGAAGAGAATGTTTTATTTTACCCTAGAATTTTTTCATTGAGAGGTATTCTAGAATTTCCACATATCTAAATTTTTTCCAGATACATAACATTTAATATCTAATTTAATTCTATTTTTAATCAGAGAACATATTCCATGGCATTTTAAGCCTGGACTTCTATTAAAACTTGTTGAGGTTGTATATTTAAGAGTGCTTAAATGTTTATAAAATACAGCTTCGTATAAGTACTACCTATCTGGGGCCTGTCACTTGAACATTGTACTTTCAATGTCAGACCATGTGTTAAGCCTGTAAACATGCTCCTGCCTTGACATCCCTCAGAGACAGATGCACCGCACCGTGCTGTGGAACTGTAGGGTGGAATAAACCCTTTCCTCCCCAGTATGCTTTTGGTCAGGATATTTCATCAGAAAAAAAAAAAAAAACCAACTGAGACAGCATTGCTTTAATTTGCCTAAGTGCTGCTTTCAATTAGAATGATTAGTTTACTAAAATTTAATGTAATTATTATAATGGGTAGTGGTTCAGTCTATTGTTTTATTTTTTTGTTGGTCTCCTGGTTAGTTGTTCCATTTTGTGTGTGTGTGTGTGTGTGTGTGTGTGTGTGTCTGTTGAGGTTTATTTTGTTACCTAGTATGTGGTCCATTTTTGAGAAGGTTCCCTAAGGTGCTGAGAAGAAGGTTTATTCTTTTATGTTCTATAGATGTCTGTTAAGTCCATTTGAGTCATAACATCTGTTAGTTTTCTTATTTCTCTGTTAAGTTTTTGTCTCACAGACCTGTTCAGTGGTGAAAGTGGAGTATTGAAGTCTCCCACTATTAGTTTGTGGGGTTTAATGTGTGACTTAAACTTTAGATATGTTTCTTTTACATATGTAAATACATTGTATTTGGGGCATAGATGTTCACTATTGAGATTTCCTCTTGATGGATTTTTCCTGTGACTAATATGAAATGTCTTTCTTTATCTCTTTTGATTGATTTTAGTTTGAAGTCTATTTTATTAGATATTAGGATAGCTACATCAGCTTGTTTCTTAGATCCATTTGATTAGAAAATTTTTTTCCCAACCCTTTACTCTGAGGAGATGTCTGTCTTTGAGGTTGAGGTGTGTTTCTTGTATGCAACAGAAGGATAGATTCTGTTTTTGAATCTAATCTGTGGCTCTTTATAGATGAGTTGAGTCCTTTTATATTAAGGGATATTAATAATCAGTGATTGCTATTTTCTGGGGTTTTGGTTTGGTTTGGTTTTTCGAGACAGGGTTTTCTCTGTAGCTTTGGAGCCTGTCCTGGAACAAGCTCTTGTAGCCCAGGCTGGTCTCGAACTCACAGAGATCCCCCTGCCTCTGCCTCTGCCTCTGCCTCTGCCTCTGCCTCTGCCTCTGCCTCTGCCTCTGCCTCTGCCTCTGCCTCTGCCTCTGCCTCTGCCTCCCGAGTGCTGGGATTAAAGGCATGCACCACCACCACCCAGCTATTTCCTGTTATTTTAGTTTTCATTGTTGGTGATGTTATTTTGTGTGTTTTTTCCTTCTTTGGGTTTTGCTGCTGTGAGTTCATCAATTGTCTGGTTTTTGTTTACTTGACAGAAAACTCTGACTTATATATGGATGATATTTTCCCTTTCCCCATGTTAATGTGCCAGAGTCCTTTGGCTACCAGTTTCTGATTCCCATGTTCTCTCCTGACTGGTCGCGTTGAGATTTCCTCTTGATGGATTTTTCCTGTGACTAATATGAAATGTCCTTCTTTATCTCTTTTGATTGATTTGAGTTTGAAGTCTATTTTATTAGATATTAGGATAGCTACATCAGCTTGTTTCTTATTTCTCCTGTTGCTTTCAAGATCTTCTCTTGCTGTCTGCATCTCAGCAGTTTGACTACCCATGGTTCTTTTCACTTTGACTCCTCATAGCATTGTCTAATGTTCTACAATTCCCTAATTATGTGTTTTATCAACTTAAAGTGTAAACAGAGACTGCTTATTCATTTCCTGACTGCTTAAACCCAAACAATCACAAAGAAACTATATTAATTACAACACCGTTCAGCCAAAGACTCGGGTTTATTTCTAGCTAGTTCTCACATCTTGAATTAAGCCATTTCTATTCACCTATGTATCTTCATAAGGTTGTGGTTTACCAGGTAAAGTTCTGTTCTGGTGTTGTTCTCCTTCTGCAGCTACATGGCGTCTCTCTGACTCTGCCTACTCCCTGGCTTTACTCTGCAAAGCCATTGGCCAAACCAGCTTCCTTATTAACCAATGGTAATAAAACATATTCACAGAACACAGAGGAGAATTTCACATCATCTCCAGTTTTCTGTCTAAAGAAAAGGGAAGGTTTTAACTTTAACATAATAAAATTACATATAAAAAAGAGTAATCAAATAAGAATTACAGTTACAATATTTATATCTAATTTATAACTGTCTTCAATTCTTCAAAGGCCCCAGAAGAATATACTATTATCTATGTAAACAAGAAGTTCATTTTAAGCAAATTCTGAAGTTCTAGAATTGACAGAGACATCTTGTTGCTTGGACAGTCACTCAAAGTTCTTCTGTAACACTGGGGCATCCACATTCAGCCTACAGGCCCATGGTATCGGACTTTTCCATTAGGCAGGCAATTTGAAGATCCATTCTGCCTTATAATAACAGAGGTTATCAGTTGCTTTCTTCTGTGTCCTGCAGAATATCTGGCAGTTTTTCCTGTGAAGCAGGAACCCTGAAGGATTGTCTCACTTTCTTTAGACAAGTTCAGTAGTTATTTTTCTGTGGGTTCTACATGTCCAGTTAAAAAGAACATTCCATCAAGCAGTCCAGGCAAGAGCAGTTTCTTGCTTAAATGGCTAATAAACTCCGTGAGGAGCCTTTTCAATGCCCATCTTCCTCTTGAAGTTAACTGGTGCTGCCAGGAGATGTGTCTCATTGTCATGAAAAGTCTAAGTTCTTAAAACATTTTAAATGCCATATTCTGCAAGTCTTTAAAGTATTCAAGATTATCTGTCTAACTGAAATATATCTCTGTATATCTAGAAAACCTAACATGACCTCAGTTTGACTATTATAGATGACTATCTATTAATCTGTATTGCTTAATTACACATTACATTTTTAAATGAGCTGTACAAGCATAATATCTTAAACAAGAGCAGAACTACATATACACAGTATAACAAAATCAACCTTAAATATGTATCAATAGATCAAGATCCATACCAATGCAAATTATTCATCTCAATATGATATCCCCCTCCCATTTCTAGAAAGACATTGATTGTGACCATTTAACCATTTATGGTCAACACCCTTTAAACGAAAACAAACATTTATAAAAGTCATTTTGGGAATTCGGGCATTGTTCTCTCTAAACTGCTTCCTGCTGTTTGTTGGGTGAAGTATTTTTAGGGTT